GGGAAACATGAAGATGAAACCAGGAGATGTCCTTACTAAATCATCAGAGCTGAACAGGTGATGGAGAAACAGGTTTACCTTTTAGGTGACATGAATGAGTTGAAGGGAAGTTATGAACTGTTTCTGAGAGACAAATAACACCAGGATCCTTTTCTACATAGCTGACGGCTGGTAACTGTGCAGGGGCGGCTCTAGCAAAGTTTTGTCGGGGGCCAGGTTGGGCATTAACAGGGAAAGGGGGGCACAAAGAAATATTTTTCTTTGTTATGTCATTTAAAAACTTTGAATGAATAATTATCTGAATCTTACAACAAAAGTGGTCATCTGATTAAATGTATAGAAATCCATTGTTGTATATAGTAAATAAATAAGTCTAATATACACCCTAGTAAGCTATAGTACTTTTTCCTTTGGGAAGGTAACGTCTGTGCAGTCTGCAATTCTGTTGAAGAAAGATGTTGAATCTATTTAATTATTGTAGAAAAATAATTGATTTCTGTGCATTTGTTTTACACTTGCATTAAATTAAAGTTGATTACATCCATTGAGGGCGGGGGATGGTTTCCTAATATTTTTGCTGGGAGTTGGCAACCCTATTAGTTAGGTAGGTAAGTACTATTTAAAATACCAGAATAGGGAGGATGGTGTAGGTTTAAATTTATTAGATCGATCAGTGTTGCTGAACTATAAAATGTTTTTGGGTGGAGTGTATTTTTTGCATACAGGTATAACAGAATAGCTTCAGTCTCTTGTTTTTAAAAACTTGAGTATGACCTTATACAAAATGCTGCAAGATATTTATAAAAAACAGTTTTATTGATTACAAAATACGCTATATCGGATTCATATCGGTATTGGCAGATATCCAGATTTATGATATTGGTATCGGACATTAAAAAGTGGTATTGTGCCATCTCTACTGCAAACCCTTGGCGTTCTCTCACTGAGCTTCATGATGTTGTCACCGGAAGTGGTTTTCACATCACAGGTGTGCCTTGTTCACTTGTGCAATTTCTTGCCTTCTTAATGAGGTTGGGACCATCAGTTGTGTTGTGCAGCAGTCAGGTTGGTACCCAGCTGACAGTCCTATGTGACAACTGTTAGAATTCATATTATGAAAAGAACCGATCAGCTGAGTAAAGAGAAACAACAGTCCATCATTACTGTAAGAACTGAAGGTCAGTCAGTCCACAAAACTGCTAAATCTTTCAATGTGCAGTCGCAAAAACCATCAAGTGCTACGACAAAACCGGCTCACATGAGGACGCCCAAGGAAGGGAAGACCAAGAGTCACCTCTGCTGCTGAGGATAAAATCATCTGAATCACAGGCCGCAGAAATCGCAAGTTAACAGCCTCTCAGATTAGAGCTCAACTAAAGAGAATTGTTAGCAATTGTTAATACTTGTTGTTTTGTTTTTAATGAGGTCAGGGGGTTTGCGTGTCTCAGTGACCCTAAAAGCTAGATCAGCAGAAGCTTAGCCTTCAGATGGGACACCCAAGTTGTTCAGGTCTTAGGGTAGAGACCTGACAAAGTGCAATCCAATTACATGACAAAAACAGTTATCCAGAACACCGAACCCAACCCCCACCCCTTTTCCCACCTCGATTACCGCCATGTGCCCCCTTTACATTTCTGTCAGCTTGCAGCAGATTGGTGACACTGACGAATTCTAAGTTTTCAAAAGAAATAAATAAAAGCCTTTCTTTATTTAGAGCGCATATAATTAGAGCGCATAACACGAGTGAATAGGATGCATGATGACTTTAACTACTTTATTAAATATCCGTATATTTATTGACAGCTGTATACTTTTTTTTTTATCCTCTTTTGAACTGCTTGTTGACACAAGATTATGTGGACTCATTGAACGTCCCCACACCAGACTCTCAGTACCTGCTTGAGCTCATCAGACACAGACACTGGGGAGAGTCTGTGTTAATAGTGGATGTGTGAGTATCTTTAGCAGTACTTCTGTAAAAATGACCAACTTTCAAATCTGTTTTAATCTCCATGATTTGGATGTCCACTGTTGCTCAGTGCTCATGTTTTTGTTGTTGTTTTAGAGGTGATGACTTTTCTGAAAACATCCTTCAGGCCACGAATAAAGACTAAAACTACAACTGAAACTAACAGAAACCGAACTAAAATGAAACAAATAACTGTATTGTACAAATTTGAAATTACAACACGAAATCAACTCTGGACCATACTCTGCATATTTTGCATTTTATAATCGATTTCCATGCATGTTTATAGGACTGCATAACTGATTTAACAAATCAGAACATTTTCTTAATACGGACAAATTACACGCTTTTTATTTATTATGCATATTATGTTATAGTCAGAGCGTGTGTGTTGATGGCTATGCATGTCAAAGTAGTTCGTGTACGCCAACAGTGGGCGGGGCTACCTATAGTGTAGCCAATCCCTTTTGTTTATTTTTTGATGGGCGTGCCATACAGTCAGTGCCAAGCTAACGAAGCCAACCAGAGTAAACAACTAAGTTAGCCTATCAGCTAGCTAGCAACTTCTGGTATGCCTTCGTTTCTTAAGAGAATGTATTATATAATTCATCTTCATCAACAGTTTAAACGTATAAAAGTATGAACATGTAGTCGTCACCTCGCAGCTGTGTCGATTTATTAAAACCTCGTTTTCCCCTGTTAAGAGTGTTAAATGTTGTATGTTCGATGTTTGGTTAGCATTTACTAGCTGGCTCTATTAACCAGCCTAACTTTCTATCATTGCTAATGGCTAAATGTTAGCCATTGAATCCAGACACATAATTGAGTTGTTTTATTTGCTATTTTCATACTTTTTCTAGAAATGGCGTCGTTAACGGCGACAGAATCAGCGTTACATCCAGGTACAGCGCCAGCAGCAGAGTCTATAGTGCCTGCTTGTATGTTTGCACCAGACCGGGGGTGTGCCGAGGATCAGTCCGGCGGAGAGGGCTTTGAAGACGGCGAGGATACAAATGGAGAGCCCGCGGATCATTTAGACTTAAGTAGCAAGGTGGGCCTCATTGTTAATTGCGCGTTGAGTCGTTACGTTTTAATACATTCCGACTGAGCAGATTGTTCATTGGTTTTCTATATTGTCACTGTGTGAATGAGTGCCACGTAGTATGCCATAATAACTTTACAGGTGCTTAAAAGTTGTACACGGGGCATTTAATGCTCGCTGTGCATCCCAGAGAAAGTGACACGTACAGTATTTTGCACCATATCTAACTGTATCCAGCTGGCAGCATACTAGACATGTAACCTAACTACTGTATATGCAAACTTTGCAGTTCTTTTTGTATTGTTGAATGGAGAATCCTAAATAGTCAGACTGAACCAAAACAAAACACCAACAAAACTTTATTGTGTAAAATTGTTTTTATAAAATGCTGACTACTCTACTTGTTGCGGTAGTGACTTGCTGTATGTGCACTCACAGAAGACTTGTTTAACGGTGTTTGCCCTGTCTGACCTTTGCAAATGTTCAGCTATTATCTCATTTACTGTCTCTACCTTTCAGCTGGTCCTTGTGAGTCCAACAGGGGAGCAATATGATTCCTTACTGAGACATTTGAGGGAGCGGATAGATGAGGGCTGCGGAGAGACAATCTATGTGGTTGGGATGGGCTCAGGTAAGAGTTAGCAACTTTCAGTGAACTTCATTAATGTATAGTAACTTTAAAATAGGATAATGTGGCAAGAAAACACACACACAAAAGACAAGAAAAAAGGGAAAAAAGTGTTTGTTTTTTTAAATAAAGTCTTTTTTTAAATTTAAAATAATGTATTAGCAGTTGGAAACTGTATGTTGTTATTGAATGAGAGGAAATATTCATTTAGGGCTAAAAGTCTGAGATTATCTAAGGCAAGAAAGCTGTGTTTTCAGTCATCTGGTGTGTGTATGTTCAGGATATCCTGTAGGTGGCACCAAAGACTTTTAGCAGGCATATTGTTTTTAGACTAGGCTGAAATCTGTAAAGCAAAGGAAAAAATTGTACAGCTATATTATGTCAGTGCCTGACTTCTAAAATAAAAGTTAATTATTCAAAAACATAAATTCAAACATGTGGCGTTGGGGTATAACACATATTGCTTCATAGCCATAGTAATTGTTAGGGAAAAGTAGTTTTATTGGTATTTTTCAGTCACTGTTGTGTTGTAGCTGTGTCATCACTTCTGGGCCTCCCAAACAGCTAATCCCATTTGTTTACTGTTCATTCTAAAGCTCTACACACAAACGTAGCTGGCCTTTTTGTGCTATTTTCTGACTGTTAAAGTAACTGTCTGACCCAGAGCACACATAAGGGCATGTCACTTTATCCTCGGTCAGCACAGGCACTGTCAGTAGTGCAGTGGTACAGACAGAATATCAGCACCAAAGGCTGTCTGACGAGTCAGACAAAAACTAACAGACTTTCTAATGTGACTGGCTGTAGGGCTGCTCAATTAATCGAATTTTAATCAAAATTACGATCTGGGCTTTCAACGATCATTAAAAATGACAAAGCCGATTATTAGCACCTCCCTCGTGCTTTACTCTTGTGCTGCTCTGTGTGGTAAATTGAGCGCACCTCTCTGCGTTTCAAACACGCGTCACAACAATTAATTGGACCCGAGGGAACCTCGGAAAGCTAAGCAAAAGTTATTTGGAGAGGAGAGGATAATGACTGCTGAAGAAAGAATGCCGTTGCTTGAAAAGAGAGGGAAAACGACTTCAGTGGTGTGGAAACATTATGGATTCGCGGAGTCACACGTGGATCAAGTAGACATAGTGTGTAAACTTTGTTAATAAACACTACAAATTCATTCAATCATTTAAAGACCGCTCACAAAGTGACACAAAGTGACACAAAGTGACACAAAGTGAAGGAGCAGCAACTTTAGTTGGCATACCTTAATGTCAGTTTGATGCAATTGTGCATTGTGTGGCTACACAGATTGTCTTGATGTTTGGTTATTTGTATGCATTAATATTAAGCAGTATTTTGAAGTTCACTAAATATTAATGTTTACATTTTTCATTTATTTTTTATATTGCAAACATTTGCACTGTCATCAGTATTTGCACACTATTTCATATTATTTTTGACAATCTTTAAAGCCATTATTCAATACATTGTTATTGTTAAATAAATATCGTCAAATAATCAAGATCTCAATTTCAGTGAAAATAATCGTGATTATCATTTTTGCCATAATCGAGCAGCCTTAACTGGCTGTGTTTCTTTTTGTCAATCAATCATAAGCTTTTTTGTTGTTATTGTAATTTATGTGTGCCAGTTCTACTTGTAAAGCAACTGGCAGCAACCAATGGATTAATACATTTCTTTACCCGTTAAGTGGATGAATACTGTGGGTTTCTTTGAAAATTTAGAGTAATCTGCATATATACAGCCTTTAGAAAATAAAGTCTTCTCTTAAAAGTTGTCTGAAGCTGACTGCTGGTGATTCGTTCATTTTGAAAATTGCTCTGGTCTCAGTAATTTAAATGTTCTCGTCTCTTTACACCTACTCCCATCTTTCTTTTAAAAACCACCTGTTTTACCCTCTTTCAGTCTTCTGTGTGGTCTTTGTCCTCCCAGTCAACACCCTCTCATATTACATGTTACTAACATTCCTGTATTGCCCAGTTAGCAGTGAAGATGCCAATTTTCCAAGGGTGTGGCTTCACATTACTGCTGAAATAGCTTTTTCTAAAAACATCCATTAAATTGGTCCCTCACTGTCCTGCATGAGAGTGACTTCTTCCTTTCTCATACGCTTCATTTAGATGGAGGTGATTATGGTCTGGATGAAAAGGACATGGAAGCGTCGGTAGCCACCGTGCGGTCGCTGTGTGAACAGATTGAGGCTGACTTAATCATGCTAAGAGAAAGGACAGACGCTGGAGGAAAGATTCGAGACTACCTCATCCGTCGACGCGTGGGCGAGCAGGATTTCCTAGAAGTCAGGTACAAAATATGAGGCGAGGTTCTGGGGTGTAGGCAAAAGAATCATTAGAAAATGTACCTGCATTGTTAACTTGTTAATGTGACTGTTGGGTTTGGCTATTATTGAATGCCAGGTTATATGACAATATGACTCAAACATATTCTGTTGCATAAATGAGTTTTGATGTATCACTGGGTTCAGAAAGCTACAGAAATGGCTCTTTGGCCAGCACTGCAGAAGAGGTTTATAGGCAGATTTAAAGCACAGGTTCCTGTTGTTGTGATAGTTGTTTCCACCAGGAAGAAGTATGTAATCAAACTAATGCACCTGTCTAACATTGCTTCATTTTTTTAAAAATAGTGTTTTGAACGAATCAAATAAGAATTTGCGCTTCCGACAAGTCAGCAAAAAGCTTCTCTCCCAGATGTTCACAATGGCAGAATAAGACGCAATAAAAGACAAAACTGGCAACCAGACTCAAATTTATAAGAATGAAATGCATCGAAACTCAATTCACCCTTAATTAGATTTTATTCTTTTTTTTATTACATATTTGTCTCTTTTTTTTTTGTAATTACAGAAACGTCTTAGAAAAGGAAGCTTACAGTCTGGCTCACACTTATGGGCTGAATTTTTGAAATTCTCTGTGATTACTTTTTCAGCTGCTCTTTGCTGCAGGACTTTTGTTGATCTACATTTCACATTAAAATACTTTAAGGTGCTCTGTTGAATTCAGGTCAAGGGACATGTTGGTAAAATCCTTTCCAGCTAAGCTTTTTGAGCTTGGGAGTTCAATCTGTATTTAGATATTTAGTCTTTGCCACATGTAAACTTCCATTAGGCCGGCTCACCAGTAATTTTGTGAGTCATTTAAGAATTGTTATGTTTATGAATCTGAAAAAAAAAATCACCATGCGTTATTGATTTACTCATGGACTCATGACACAGACAGTCCCCCTGCTCTTATTTTAAAAGTTCAGTCGCTGTTGATCTTCCTGACACCTCTGTCCCCTTGGCTGAGTCACTGGCCATGTTGCTGTTGTGGTGATCCTCTGTCATTCACCTGATTCCCCAAAAAGCCTGTCCGACTGCTCCAACTCCACTGTGACCAGAACCTTCAGAATGTGGAAACCTGTTGTCTCATAGACGGCAGAGAAACGTAAGAACAACTGGCACAACCTGTAGCTCAAAACAGAGGAAGTAGAGTTCATCCACAGGATGAGGCTCACTGGAGAAGTAATAGATGATATGGGTCTGTTATGAAAGCGGCTGGTAAATAAAATAATAGTACAGGAATAATAGCTGAAGTCTGCAGCTCGTGCATATATACGTTATAAACCCTAGCAAATGTGCAGAAACCAAATGTAAAGCCAAAACGGTGCATGCATCAAATCTTCTAAACCTTCTGCAGTCTCCAGCTCCATTATCAGCTCACCACCAGCCCAATGTTTCACAGTCAGCACTGAACAGTCACTGCAGCAGACCTGATCAGCTTCACATCAGACATGCTGGGCTCTATCTCATCCACACTAGTAATCTTAGTCATATTGGCCGAACCACCTGCTCCCATGTGTGATCTTGCAGTTGTGTGAGCAGAGTTTTTCCTTTGGCAGCGTCCACAGAGGCTTACTTTGTGCATTATCTTTCACACTGCCTTAGCACAGATAACCCTTGTGTCAGAATCACGTACTTGTCTGTGTCTCAGAGCAAGGCAGGAAAAAGGAGTCATTTTTTGATGGCAGTCACTTTCTTTCTGAACCTTCATAGAAAAGTTGTGTACTGTTGCATTAGACAAAGCCAAGAACCAAAGGCCCAGCTGTGAGAATGCTGTGATGGTCTTTTATAGCTTTGCTCATGCAAGTTAACCCAATTTGAAAATGAATTGCACACTGCACCTGTTTTATGCTGAACTTCGTATTGTTGATGTCTGTATCAATATTGTATAGCTTGGTTCCATTTGTCCCTGTTTATAGAGCAGCAATAAACCAGAAAACAAATACGCTGGCCTGTTTGTGACAGGTGATGATTTATTATAGCACAGGCCCGTTTGTACCTGATGTTGCTGCTGGGAGTGTTTATTTACTTTTGGCATGTCTTTTCTTATTGTGTGTCATTTGGGTTTCATTTATGTTCGATTGAATTTAGAAGGTTGAAAATTATCTCGTCCTGCATTTGACATAATTTTCCCTTTATTTATTTTGCATGTTGAGCCGAGGATACTTGTTTACTTCCAACTTGTTATAATCAAACACACAAGAACAGAAATGGACAACACCATTAGTGAAAAAGAAATAAAATATAGATGTAGGTCTTAAGCTGGATTTCTTTTTAGTCTCAATAAAATACCCGGCAGTCTCCATCAGTTTTATTTTTAGAAATGAAGATTGAGAACCTTCATATACTCAATGGGAGGGTTTAGAGGTGGTAGAAAGATTTGTAATGACTTGGCTGTAAAATTGTCCAAAGTGTTGGTGAGGGAGTCCATAAAGTCAGCCGCATGACAGGCAGTCAGCTGATCTCAGTGCCAGGCCATGCCTCAGCTGACTGGCTCTCTCATATAGGGCTCACCGTTTTAAGCTCTTTTAGCCTCCAACACTGTAAAGGGTCCTGACTGAAGTAACAGCTCTGCATACAGGGAGTGCAGAATTATTAGGCAAATGAGTATTTTGTCCACATCATCCTCTTCATGCATGTTGTCTTACTCCAAGCTGTATAGGCTCGAAAGCC